ATTTGGATTGTCCTCAAATTTCGGAAGATTTTCTGTCAATAAACTTGCAATTTCGGAAGACTTTCTACCAACATTCAATATTTAATCCATTATATTTTTTTGATTTATTTGTATGATGATCACCATAACATTACTGAGTGGAGAAATAGAAATTATGACAGCACCGAGTTTACCAACAGCGCGAATAATAAATACATTGTTTTTCTCAGTACCCTACTTAATTTGAATATATTTTAATATTGTAAGAATTTTATATAGAGAAAAATAAAAATAATATGGCTATACGATAAATCGAGGTCTGTGAAAATATATATAGTTTCCTTAAAATATATTTTTCATGTATGAGCATATGTTTGCCAGGTTAAAAATAGAAAAATTATATTTCCTGTGAATTGAAGAATGCTTGGACTTAAGACAAGTATTTAGAGCATGGAGGAACTTGTATGTGTATCTCATCTAGAAAATAAAAATTCACACCCTTTATATAGTCATAAATAAGAAGCCTACATGACGTCTACACTTAATTTTATTTGTACTTCAATTTTCTCCCATTCAATGCATGAAATAAGGCAAAATTTCAAAATTGGTCCTATAACTTGGCCACTGTCCAAAAAACCACCCCGATATTGACCACTTTCAATTTAAGTCCTATAATTTGTCGATTTCATCAATTTTGGTCCTTTTTTATCCGCCCCTAGATTACAAAGTGACGTGGCATGACGTGGCAGTTTTTCAATGTTACATGGCGTGATTATGATATACGTGGCACGTCGATTTTGGTCCTATAATTTGACGATTTCATCAATTTTGGTCCTTTTTTCATGCCACGTCATTTTTTAATCCAGGGTGCGGATAAAAAAGGACCAAAATTGATGAAATCGACAAATTATAGGACCTAAATTGAAAGTGGTCAATATCAGGGTGGTTTTTTGGACAGTGACCAAATTATAGGACCAATTTTAAAATGTTCCCCATGAAATAAAGTATAGTTATAGCTAATGAGTTCAAATTCCTGTTTCAACAATTTACTTCATACATCTTTCAAACATTCCTTACCTTAAATTCGTCCACGAAAATGAAGCCTATAATGTTTCTACATTTCCATTTCTATGTAATAATCGAGATTCTCAAATTCACGAGTGTGTTGTGGATAAGGTAGCATTATAGGGATATAATAATTTAAACCGTTTGCTCTCTTTCATTTTTTGTTTGTCCATACCCTCAACATAAAATTTGAGATGCCTAGCTAGAGTAGATATCTAGGTGATAAACTGTACAAAATTTCAATTTTTATCTTAATATACTCCTATTGGAAATGAGGAAAATGCTCACATGCCCACAGTGGACACATGTTAATATGTCCACCGACTTATGTGGCATGTACACATTGGTGATGTATTTTTTTTTTAACATATTAACATCAACAATGTGTGCATGCCACATCAGCGGTGGGCATATTAACATGTGCCCACCCTGAGCATGTGAGCATTTCCCTTAGAAATGATATGCTAATTTTGACGTTAATCAAATTTAGTTCCACACAAGAATGACGTGTTGCATGATCTCATGCAAAGTTACAAAAGAAAATGAACAACGGCATAGTACACCTGCTGTGGGGAATTTTTTATTTTAGAATTTGATTTTTTGTTGAGCTATCCATTCTCTAGATTGTTCCTTGAGTTGTATAAGAGTGGTGAATGAAAGAACATTATCCTTTTCTGAAGAAACCAAATCAAGCTGCAAGTTCATACACTTCTTCATTTAAAGCTTTCATATTTCATCATGTTTTATCTTAAATTCTGTTATGGTACAGAGCACCAGATTGATCTAAGTTGCTCTATGCCGAATCTCTTTCTTCCTTTATTGTTATCCCCTTTCAGTTTCCTCTTTATGCCCGTTATATTCACCATGTCTTCCTCCTCAGTCACTTCGACAAACTTAGATAAAAATCAGCTTGTTTCTCCTCAGAGTAAGCTCATTTCCTTTAAGTTGAGTGAAACCAATTACTTGGTGTGGCATCAATAAGCCCTTGCAGCTATTAAGGGCTTTGGACTCTATCAATATATCTCTTCAGACCAAATAATTCCAAAGGAGTTTTTACAAGCATGCCGAGTGAGCCATCACACAATCCAAAATACTTGTTTTAGGTGAGGCAATATCAAAATTTTAGCCTCTTGGCTTTTATCTTCTCTCACAAAGCCAATACTAGTGGGCACGGTTGGTTTGACAACATCCAAAGAGATTCGGAATAGCCCCTTCAAATAGGTTTTTCCAGTCATTCAATGGCCAAGATCATGTAATACAAAATGAACTGAAGCTGCAAACAATGAAAAAAGGAGGATCGAATATGAGAGATTATCTCAATCAAATAAAAACATGTTGTGATGTGTTGGTTGTAACTGGTCGAAAAGTCACTGAAAAAGAAGAAGTGATGCACATCTTGGTCGGGCTTGGTCATGAATACAATCATGTGATGGCGACTATTATGTCAAAGGCAGAAGCCATTTCACTAATAGAAGTTCAATCTTTTTTACTCACTTTTGAAACAAGGCTTGAGGCTATGAACTCAAAACAACTTAAGTATGGTTTTGATGGATGTTTTGTAGTTTTTAGCCTGTACGAAATAAATCCCGACCTGTGGTCGTGTCTCTCGAGGAAGGTTGTTCGGAGTTTCGTGTAGTAGAAATATCGTAAGAGAACCAACCGCCACCCACGTGGTTTAGCTAATTCAATAGCCTTCGGATAAAAGCAAGTCGTCAAAGCACAAAAATCGAAAAGAAGGTCCTAAACATTCTAACAAGATGATTGAGATTGATTTTAGACGAACTTAATCTACAAAATTGAAAGCAATTAACTAAAGGCATAAACTTTAACTAAAGAATATTGGAACTTTGCTAACACATATTCTCCAAAACTCACGAAAAATAAAAATAAACCAATAGAAACATGCTAGTACTAAGTTCCTATGATGTTAGAAACGAGCCTTCTAATCTAAATGATCAAGATTTTAACAAAGTCTCAACTTTTAACACAAGATAAGCGCGCAATTAACTCTTAATCACCTTATTAGACAAGCAAGAAAAATCAAAAGATTCAAACTTTATCCAAATTCTAATGTAAGTCACCAATTTTACCTTGAAAAGCTTCATAAGTAAATATGGAGCAAATACGAAGTAATGAATCTTAAAACTAAGTACTCACTCTTCTATTGCATGCTCGAAGAAAATCGGAGTGAAAAGCTTGAAACTTTAATAAAACAACACCGCTGGAAATTCGCCAAAAAATATGAGTCATGGAGCTCCAAACATATACTAGAGAGAGAAAGGAGAGAAAGAACTAATTTTCCAACTAAAAAGTTAGGAAATGAGTGTGTGCGCTAAAAAATACATAACAACAAGTCTATTTATAATTACACCAACACACACACACACACACACACACACTAAAAACACACATTTACTAAGAAACACTCGCTAGTTGACGAAATGGCCCGTTGGGACTTGCTGGCACTCGCTGGCTGGCGACCTAGGTCGCCTGGCGGACGGGTCTCTCGGCTACACACGCGACTTGGGCTTGAATTTTCGCAGGTGCGAGCTAGCAATGGGTCTCGCGCGGCACGGTTGTTTGTAGTTTTTTAGACGAGTACGGAATAAATTTCAACCTCGGGTCGTGTCTCTCGATGAAGGTTGTTCGGACACGAATCCAAACAACGATTGACTCACAATGAAGGAAAAGAATGGTCCTAAATATTCTACTCGCAATTGGGGTTTGACTTAAACTAAAGATCGCAGCTTTACACTAGAATGAAAGCAAGATTCAAACTTTAAAGCAAGTAAGACCTCAAATTGCAAGGAAAAGAAAAATAGAGAGAAAAAGAACTAAGCACCCTAAGACCCGAGATAGAAAGAAGCACTCATATGTTCGAGAACATATAATCAAGCAATCACCACTCGTAAACCAACCAATAGAGCTCTCAATCGACTCTCGCTCACGCAATGAACAGCAAGTCACTCGCGAATCAACTAATCAAGCTCTCAATTAATTCTCGCGCACACAATCAACAACAAGATCACATAATCCCTAACCTATAAGGATGAAAGCATATTCTACTCATGAAAACTCCTACCTTTACCCTAGAAAAATTTAATAAGCAAAGACAAAAAAAAACTTACAAGATCTTGGACCTTAAACTAAGTCTCCAAGTCTCTAGTAGCCTCCACGAGAAGAAATAAGCCGAAAAGTTGCAATCTTGATGGAGAAATATTACAATAAAAATAGGATCATGGAGCCCTTAGAGAGAGAAATAAAACTAGAGACAGAGCAAAAAAACTCAAAATAAAAATTTTGCAAATGAGGAATTGATGCCCAAAACACAAGGGGTTACGTCTATTTATAGCTACACAATCAATACACACAAAAACACACATATTAAATGATCACAACTCGTGGGGCCTCGAAACAGGGCACAGGTCGCGAGTGTTTTCTCAGTCTTGGGCTACCTCGTGTGCACTCGCGAGCAGAAGCGGAGGCATGTGTTGTGTTGCCCGGGCTTCAGCCCGGGTGGGCTTTAGATACCCAATGTATCTAATTCTTAAATTGTTTTGCATAGTACTTTATATATTATAATGGATTGTTAAAAATAATTACTTTGGTGGGCTCAATTTTTTTGCATTGTGCTTAAACGGCTTTTAAAATCTAATTCTTAAATTTGGATAATGTAGTGTTAAAATAATTGCAATTTTATTTATTTAATATGTATTGATATCACTTTATTTTATATATGATACTTTTTAGAGGTGTAAGCCTTGTTTGCTTTCTTATTAATTTGGGAGCTAGATTTGACTAGTGACTTAAAATTGAAAATTATAAAATAGATTTATAGCCAAGACAAAAGTTGATATAATATCAAGTCCCAAATCATTCTTTTATTATTTTTGAATTTCAAGAATTTAATATCTTATTTTGAAAACTTAAAACATATTTTTCAAAATATATATTGAATGGCAGAAGAACTTCCAACAGGTTATATCATCCATTTCTCATATTAATTGTTTTTCTTATTTAGATTTTTCAAGTTTAGTTAACTTTTTACAATAATAAATAAACTAAGGACAATACCTTATTTGATATTTTGAGATATTATTTTATTTTTGATTAAATAATTTTAGCCCGGGTAGATTTCTAATCCTTCCTCCGCCCCTGCTCGCGAGGTTGTGGAACGTTGCCCGATTCGCGAGTGATTTCTCAGTAGAGGTTGGGACTCGCGGGGTCGCGGGGCATAGGTCGCGTCGCGAGTGCTGCAGTTGCTCGGGGCGGGAATTCGCAATGCCGCGAATTGCATCTCGCGTCGCGAGTGTGCGTGCGGCTGCTGGGAGAACTCGCGACCTCGCGGATCGCGTCGCATGTCGCGAGTGCAGGGTCAGCACGAGTCTCTTGCATGGGGCGAGCGGATCTCCTCAGCATTGCCGCTAATGGCCCATTTTTTCGGGCGAATTTTTGGTAATTTTCGGTGCATTTCTCGACAACCTTTCGGAGTGCAGTTTTCTACAAAAATAAAGGATAAAAAGAGAAATAAAAAGCACAAGACAATAAAATGACACGAAAACACAAAAACGAGCAAAAACGACTAAACGGACAGAAAAAAACCTAAAATAAAATAAATCAAACAAAAATAAAACACTTAAAAACACAAAATAACAACAAAAACATACAAAACAACAGGTCTCGCGCGGTCGTGCTGCACGCGATGCCTGGGAATGAAGCGGGTCTCATGCGGCAAACAACACGGGTCTGCCGATAGCAGCGCGGGTCTCCTAGGCATGTAGGTGTGCAAGTCCACCGGATGTTGATTGGGTCAACCGACCAAGAACTTTCTGGAGACTTTTCCGGCAATTTTTCGACCAGTTTTCTTGCGATTTTTCCAGCGACATCCAATGAACTAAGAGCGCATTTTCCTATAATATACAAGATAAAAAGAGAGATAAAAGGCACAAGACACCAAACGACAAGAAAAAACAACTAAATGAACTGGGAAAAACATAGAATAAACTAAAACAAAAACAAAACAAAAACATAAAAACACATAAAATAACAAAAAAATCATACAAAATAATGGATCAACACCAAGTGGGAAGTGGTAGAGATGCAAGACATGACCCAATTTATAAAAACCATGTTAGAACCTAGTCTGAGCATTATAGCTTTAATGCAAAGGCCATTCAATCCTGTCGAAGGCTTTTTCCATATCAAGTTTTATAGCCATGAAGAAGTTAGAACCTATTCTATGTCTATTTAGATAATGCATGGCTTCTTGAGCAATAACAACGTTGTCTAAGAGTTGTCTGTCTGGTATAAAAGCAGCTTGAGTTTCACTAATGCAAACAAATAGACAACTCTTGAGCCTTGAGGCAAGAATTTTTGAAATTATTTTATAGGCAACACAGCACAAACTAATAGGTCTGTAGTGTTCAACTTTCGAGGGGTTTCGAATTTTGGGAACAAGGGTTAACAGGGTATGGTTCCAAGATTTTGAAATGAAACTGGTATTGAAAAAGGAAAAGATAGATCCACAGAGGTTGTGTTTAATAATGTTCCAGTTTTTTTGAATGAAGAGAGGGGTCATACCGTCGTGTCCAGGAGCTTTGTTTGGGTTCATACTGTCTAGAACTCTCTTAACTTCCTCTTCTGTCACCGTTGCAAGCACTCTGGAATTCATAGCTGGAGTTATAGCCAGTTGTATGCAGTTAAGAAGTTAATTGTCAATGGCCGGCTCATCTGATGAGAAGAGTTGTTGGTAGAAATCTGTGAGACATCTTTCAATTTCAAGGGGGGATTCACACACTAAATTGTCTCCTCTAATCAGTCTGCTTATAGCATTGCTTTTTCTTCGTTGGGAGGTGTAAGCGTGAAAGAATTTCGTGTTTTATCGTCGTCCTTGAGCCAGTTTACTCTCGATTTTTGGCTCCAGTATGCCTCTTCAGATTTGTTAAGACAGTCAATTTGCACTTTAAGAGAGTTCCACATAGCCCAATCCCTGTCATTTCCCAGTTCCCTCAACTCTTCCATTTTTTTAGCCGCTTCCTTGAGATATTTTTTATTTTCTGATCTGAAATTCCTACTCCATTTGAGGAGTGCCACTCTGGTTGCCGCAATTCTCTTTTGGAATTTGGTCATTGGGTGACCATTCTGAAAACAGCTCCAAGCATTCTTAATGATCTCGCTAACCTCTTCTCTGAGCAGCCAGCGTTTATCGAAAACAAATCTTTTTTTCGGCTTGGGATTGTCACTGCCAGTGGATAGAACGATTAAGCTGTGGTCGGAGGAGCTCATAAAGACATTTTTGGCAAAGGAATTTGGGTATGCTGCCAGCCATCCAAGAGGGGTAAAGAACTTATCTAGCTTCTCTTCCACATTATCCTCGCCCGTTCTACAGTTCCCCCATGAAAATTTGTGACCACTGGTTCCGATTTCCTGCATGCCCATGTTTGCAATAAAAGTTTTAAATTTCCAGAAACTGGCCTCCGAACGTCTCCTTCCTCCTTGATTTTCTTTGTGGCAGCAGATGTCATTCCAATCGCCTCTTATAACCCACTTATCTCCCCATCTGGAGTGCGCCTGCTCTAGATATCTCCATTGGTTTTCTCGCTCCCTAGGGTCTATACTGAGGTATACAAAAACAATCCACTGGGTACCTTGTATGCTGTTATGGCTGAACTCGATCTCGATGGAGAACTTGTGTGAATTGTCCTGCACAATTCTAATCTCCATGTCCCATAAGAGCAGTAAGCCACCACTCGTCCCTATAGGGTCCACAAAAATACTTTTATCTTCAAATCCCAGTTTTTTACAAACCGTCCTAACAAAAGCACTACTTCGTCTAGTTTCACTCACAAATGTGAACCAGGGGAGGTGGAGCTTAAGAGCCTCTTTCAGCTGGGGAACTGTAGAGGGTCCTCCCAGACCTCTACAGTTCCACACCATCGACTCATTTGGGTGTTGGGAGCCATTCCAGGCTGGCTGCCTCCACTTGATGTTCCTCTTGTGATGGTTCAGTTTGCTTTTGCTTTTTCTTGCTCTTTGCTTCTTCACTGCTTTTGGAATGGTGTATTTCAGCACTTTCAGATTGCAATCTTCCCCTTTAAGCGCTTTGTTTTCCTTTTGATCCACTCTAGTCTGGTTTGGTCTTTGCTACTTGCTGGGAATCTTGCGGTTTTCTGGTCCATTTCTTTCTTTGTTTGCCATTTTTTATTTCTGGCACAGGGTTTTACTTGGGCACTGTTTCAATTTTTGGGGTTGGGCTTCAGATATAGGAGGTAGGCCAGCTAGGTGAAAATCGATATCTTGGTTTGTATGGAGGAGAATAGGGTCAGGATTTTGGCTTGATATTAAATGCTGAGGTGGTAATGTGGTTAAAATTGGTTTTTTGGGCTGATGAGGGGTGGTCTGAGGAGATGATGTTTTAGATGATTTTGGGATGCAAGCGAGGGGCTTATTGAGGGGTTTTGTGGCTATTGCACTCAAGGATGCTTTTGATCCACTGCATGAGTTTGGTATTTGGGAGGATGGAGTATATGGGGAAGAAGAAAGAGAAGTTGAGGTATCTTTTTGTGAGGGTGAAGGGGCTGTTTTGTTTCTGAAGATTGGCGATTCCACAGCTTTCAGCCATTCACCGAATTGGCCTTCCTGGAGTTTGCCCTTTTCAATGTCTTTTACTCTTGTGGAGCATGTTCTGTCCAAATGGCCGATCATTCCGCAATAGTAACACAAGTTCATGAGCTTGAAATATTTGAAGTGCACTCATTGGACTTTGTCTTTCAGTTGAATGTTTGTACACCAGAGTAGAGGTTCTTCAAGGTTGATTGTCACTAGCAGCTTCAAGTACCTTCCTGGATTTAAGGTTGAATGCTCAATGACCACATCCTTAACCTGTTTGAAAGACTGCCCTATTTTCAGGCCGACATCTGCACATAGCCAATTTAGTGGAAAATCTTCCACTTGGACCCAAATGTCCATTTCCTTGAAGCATGGATGGTCTGCATTGATATTTTCTACCCACTCCCTGAGAATGGGTATTGGTTTTCAAACGACCAGTTTTTGCCTGCTACAACTCTGATTTTGTCTGCAACATCTTCAAAAAGGAATTGGAAGAAGTTTGGGCTCAATTCCCGAATAGTGAGAGGGCCCCTGAGATTCCAGATATGAGATAGCGACCGTTTGAGGCCAAAAACCCCTGCTTTCCTATTCCCGATAATTTTCCCAAATAGGCTTCGATTACATTCATCTTCACTTAACTTTATATCATCATCCTGAAGCGGTATTATATTTGCTTCCTTTGAGGATAGAGAAAATTCCGCAGCTTTTGTTCGATGTTATCCATGGTGAGGAAGAGGAAGAGAGAGTATAGACAACTTGGGAAGAAAAATACAAGACAAGGGGAAAAGAGAAAACTCGCGCATCTTACTTGTATTCATGCATTATGTAAATTATTAGAACATGACCACTTAAATACATGGAAGACTATTAGATTCTTGCATATACATTAACAAATATTAATTTAGTTTAATAATTCACATTAACAATAAGGAAAATTTTTATATCTCCTACACGAAATTGAAAATATTACAATAATACTAATCATAAACAAATAATTGTAATTCTACCTAATTCTCTATCATTTACTGCATTAAAGCCTATTCAGTTACCTGAAAGGACGGATCTCATCCCTTTTTTTCCGCATGATTTCAGTATGTTACTAAAAAAAAAAAGAAATCTGTTCATGAATATGGCTCTCACAGTACATGACATCACGCCGCAAGCAATTTATTCAATTCACAGAAATCATCAATCAATGATTTGAAATCATCAAGCAATTTATTCGGCTACACCACTAATAGTTACTGCAATTGAATGCTATCTAAACATTTTTTTTTAATCCACGAACTAATAATTATTCTATAACATTGTCCTCTCCTTTTTTCTCATTAGATTAGAATTGCCAACATAATTTTTATATTAAACTATCATTGAACTAAACATGTGTGTTGTTCAATATACTTGAATTATACCAAAAAATATGCACTGCAATTAAAAAACAAATGGTATGACAAATAGTTGCAGAATTAACTTAAATATCATGCAAATAAACCTTGCATATACTAGAAATCTATACTACAAATATACTGAGCATTGCAATATGCCTTGAATATACCAAAAATATACTACACGTGTAGTGAACAACCACAAAACACAATTTTAGACAAAACTCTACTTGACTGCAAACACAATGACAGTATGATATATGTACCAGTAAATAAACTTAAATATTACTAACATACAGTCCACACATATAATTGTCAGAATTACATAAAAAATACAAACACATAATAAACTTATCCCACATATACTTGAATTATACTAACTATATACTTAATTCAACCGGGGAGTCTTCTTCTTCCAAATCTTCTTCGCTACCGGTTTCTTCGGGTTGGGTTTCATACTCGAAATCAGGGTCTTCCTCGTTCAAATCTTTGTCGGTGTATTTGGGCTTCTCCAATTTACGAGTTCGCCGAGACTTTTGCGATATATTTGGGTCTGACTGGAATTCGTCTGAACCCAGAGATGAAATAGGGTTCTTCATTCTCGACTTGCCGGAAAACTTGCGGCTAGATATAGGGTTCATTCTTGACTTGCCGGAAAACTTGAGGGAAGCCGGGCACTAGATCTAATCAGTGGTGAGTCGTCGCCACCATTTGTCGGATTTTTTCGATGAGGATGAGGGATTTTAGTTTTCGCCATTGACACTTGAATTGGGCGAAAAAATTGAACAGTTTGCAGAATGAGGGAGACGTGGGGCGGTGGGTGGCTTTTTGGGATAATGAATTTATCTTTTATTTCCTCTTTTTTAGGTAAGTGAATCTCACTTAAATATCTAATTACCATTAAGAAAAAAGTTTATAACGGTTTCATTGTATTTAGGTATAACTGAAAATATTTTAAGCCTTTTTAGGTATTTTAAAAATAAGATTTTAGAGCATCCACAATGCTTTGGGTCTATTTTTGTATATGTGGCATATAATTGGACTTGAGTTTTAAATGACATGGACAAACCCAAGTAAAAAAACTCAAAAACTTTGCAATGCAAAAATAAAAAGACTAGGTCTATCATACATGCCAACCAATAGAAATACTCTAATATGTTTTATTCATTAAAAAAAATTAAATTAAGAACAAATGATGAGTGTTTGGGTTTGTACTTGGGTCCAAAATAGACCCAAGTGTGGACTTGGTCTCTTTTTTTCATTGCCACATAAGCTAGACCATGTCTACTTTTAATTGCATTGGGAAGTATTTTTTTATGGACTAAGTCTATTTTCTATGTGGCATGTGATTTTTTGTTAAAAGACCCAAAGCATTGTGGATGCTCTTAAGGGGTATAAAAGTGTATATATTTTAAATGAGTTAGTATGGGGTGTAATTTCCTCTAACAATAATATATCTATAGGAAACATAAAATTGCATTTGATAATTGTGTAAACGAGTCGATGAACAACAAATTTTGCACAGAATAGGTGGAAAAAATTTGTCATTTGTATCAAAGTTTCAAAAATCAATTATTAGGACAAATTAACGGCTAATTCTTTATAAATCCCTAACACACAAATGAACTTCCTTGTCAGTCCCCCCTACATTTAAACTTCCTCTACACTCCCTAAAGTTAATTTATCTTTCCAAATCACTCCCCATATATATACTACTCTTATTATTATTCTTTTATTTTACCTTATTTTCATAAAAAATTGAATTGAAGCTCTACTCTCTCTCTTCGTTCTCGCCGTTTCTCTCTCTCTCAAAATTCATCGCCGACCGCTCTCACTCTCAAATTTTCGTCGCCAAGTGTGGCTCTCTCTCTCTCTCAAAGTTCCATCCCTCTCAAATTATTATTTATTATTGTAGACCAGTCCCTCTTTTTTCTTCTTCGACATCCACACCATTCTCGTCGCCGGCGACATCCCCAATCCGCCGATCTCCCGACCCGCCAGTAGCAAGGCGGCCAATTTCAACACCTCCAACGTATCTCAAGAGGTCGCTTGATTTGGGTTAGGATTTGGACACCATAATTCATTTCACCCTCAAACACGCTTTCGGGAACTCCGATTTCACACCGTCGGAACATTTTAGTCTCGCTCAAAATCGTCGCACGGCGGTCAGGTAGTGCGAAAACCTAACCTGAGTTGGTGATAATTGATATATTGTACTGAATTTGGTGAAATTTTATGTGTATCTAACCTAGCCGGCCAGGTAGAGCCCGTCAGAGGTAATATCTGATTCTTATTATCTGATTCCTAATCTAGCTTGAGTAGGTTCCTATGTCTTGATTTTTGGTCGATTTCAATTCTTGTGTAGACCATATTTTCGGTCGATTTCAATTTTGTAGTAATGGCAATTTCATGAATGATTGTAGAATTGAAAGTTTGCTTAGCCAGTGATTTGAGGAAAGGGCTTGATTTCGAAAACTATGTACATTCTGGGAAAGAATATCTGGAATTACACTGGTAAACTTTTTGTCTTCATTTAACTTTTGCCCAGTTTAGCAAAGATGCTCAGGTCATTGTTGCTGATTGAGTTGATTTAATACCCAATTCTCGCACACAGCCAGTGCTTTACTGTAGCCTTTGGTTGATTAATTGTCCCATAAGGAACTAAATTAGTTGTCATATAAAGTTCAATTGTTGGCAAAGATATTTTATCAAGTTGCAGCAAACCTCTGGGCATATAAGTTATGTCAATTTGTAAAACTTAAAATCCAAGGGGAATGCAAAGTCATTCATGAATTATTTCCACTCTCATGACTTTTTTGTTTCCTATGCAGGATTATTGTGGTGCTAAACATGGAAACTATCATTCCAGATTGTGAATTAATTGTTCCATGTGAATTTTGATTGCCAATGCGTATATGTACCTATTGAACTGAGGCTGATTTTGATGTATTCTGGTGCATTACAGTGAAGTGAATCTCTTATGAAATGTTCCGGCCCGATGTCCAGCCGTTCGAGCCTGTATCCCTCTAGGAGACGTCTGTAAATTAACTATGAGGCATTTAGACAATTTAGATATAGCTAAATGGTATATACCATGCAATATTCTTAAATTATTATCATTATTTGCCAATTGAGTTGCAGAAGTATTAGCATTACATGTGTTCTACATCCCCTGCATGCCTCACTCGAAATTTGCTCCAGTATTTGTATATTTTGTTTTATTAAGACTGTACAAAATTCTGGAGTCAACCGTATGAATTGATTTGAAGTTCAGTGGTGCAAATTTCAGTTCACTGTGATTCTTTAGCTATTGGTTTGAATCCTCATATATCTGTACGGGTTTGTCTTGGTGGATCATTGTTCTCCAAAGTATAAGCTAGGTTCTGGCAGCTTTGGAGGATTTGGGTTGTTGTGATGTTATGTAGGGGATCTTCTATTATTCTGATTAGTCTTGCATTGGTTTCTGTGTATTTTAGTTACATTTAGAGCACTTCTGTGTGTATTGCTATTATGGGATCAGTTGATCTCCGATCTGTAAAACATTCGATTTTTATGCTAATGAGTATTTATAAAAAAAAAAAAAAGGTTATATATTCAGTATGTACCTATTTTTGGGGTCCTCAGTATGTACCTATTTTGGGGTCTTCAATACTTTAATCAGTTAGTACCTACATTGGTCAACGAAAATAGATTATTCAATTTTTGTAAACATTTGTGAAATTAGTATCAGCCCTAAAGTTAGATAATACTCATTAAATGATGTTTTAGTACTAGATATTGGTTCTTCAGTACCAACTCCGACGAACATAAAAAAAAAAAAAAAAAAAAAAAAAA